ACAATTGTTCCCAGCGATCCTGTGGTGTCGGGTTTTCGGTTTGAAGAGACAGCGCCCCGCGTTCCTTCCTTCCTCCTCCCCCCCGCTCCAATCCTTGCTGCTGCCATGCGTATGTCCTCATCTTATCATTATCATGTGCTCCATGTATTGCGAGACGGCGCGCGCGCGATCGCAATGCTGGGACCAGAGAGCACAATAATCGGTTTCCTGCGAACGATTCCTGCCCATGTCCGCAATCGAAATCCACTGGCGCGCGCGTCCTCCAATCCCAGGATTTCACGACCGTTTTTGTTTCAATTACTCATGCGTTCTTCGCGACCCAACATGCAAGAGTACGACGCACGTTTGCATGGTGATCGCGTCTACACGGCGTCATAAAACCACGCAGTGGTGCAAACGTTTGTTCCCCAGCCTTTCGCCAAGCCGCGCCATCATCGCTGTTGTCATCATTGCAATCACCGTCATCATCATCACCAACGTCATCTTCATAATCCTAACCATCGTTTCACGGAGCTTGTGACCACATAGCTGTATAACTATGCCGTTTTGCAAGTGTTTCGATTCCATGGCTGCGCGCACCGGCTCGCCTACGGCAGGTTGGCCTGCGCCGCGCCAGGTGTTTTGGATTGCTTCCCCACCTCCTCCTCCTCCCCCTCCCCCTCCTCCTCCTCCTCCTCCTCCTCCTCCTCCTCCTCCTCCTCCTCGTTACAGGGCGTCCTGGCCCGTCGTGTTTCCGACGCGCATGGCACCGCGAAGGCGGCCAGGAGCGGCAACGCCACGCCGTTTTCATTCACTTCTACTCCGGCCTGGGTCAGGGGCCACGGCTCGCAGGTCCGGAGTTGTACAGCATCACACACCATGATGATGTTGATGTTGCGTCTGTGGCGGCGCGCTGTCGTTGGAGGATTGAGGGTCGTTGGCGTCTGGGGCCTGGGCTTGCCACGGCTGGTGTCAGAAAAAATCGTTGTTATCCTGGGGATTTTCATCATCACTTTCATCATCGCCATTTTCTGAATAAACTGGATCATATCCATCATCACTCATCATTATCAGCAGCTCTCTTTTGAAGCGTGCGCGCCTACAGGACGCAGCCAGGTGTGGACGGCAGTGAGGACGTTGATGATGGTGATGATGGTGGTGGTGATGATGGTGATGATGAAGGCGAGTTCGGATCGGATGGCGTCGGTTCCGTTGGCAGTGCGGCTCCAGATCCGAGCGCTGGTGGGCGCGGCCGAGAAGCCATCGGCGATGGCTTCTTAGCCGCGTGCACCGGCGATCCGCCCCGCGCCGCCAGCGGCGGCGTGGCGGCGGCATGGCGGCGCCGCCAGCGGCGCGGCGGGAGCTGGAGGAGCTCGCGGAGACGGCCGCGCGGGGCTCGTGGCCGGAGGAGCTTGGGGGGGCGCGGCCTCGCAGCCGCAGCCCGCGGCCACCTGCTAGGGCCTCCGCCCCTCGCGGCGTTCCTGGCCGCGGGCCCGCGGCCGCCCCTGGGGCCCCCGCCCCTCCCGGCCGCGGGGCCGCGGCCCCCGCGGCCCCCGCCGCCTCCCAGGCCGCGGGCCGCGCCGCCCAAGCTACTGCCCCCCCGGGCCGCTGCCCCCCGGGCCCCTGCCCTCCAGGCTCGCGCCGCCCAAGCCGCCGCCCCGCAGGCAGCGGCCCCCCGTGGCCGAGCGCGCGGGGCACGATCTGGGCCGAGGTGCTCGACGCGGCCGAGCTCGACGCGGCCGAGGGCGACGCGGCCGAGGGCGACGCGACCGAGGAGCTCGCGGCCGAGGGCGACGCGACCGAGGAGCTCGAGGGGGGCGCGGCCGAGGGCGACGCGCCCAAGCCGACCGGGGAGCTCGGCGCGGCCGAGGGCGACGCGCCCGAGCCGACCGACGAGCTCGACGCGGCCGAGGCCGACGCGCCCGAGCCGACCGAGGAGCTGTTGCCCGCCGCCAGCGGCGGCGTTGATCGCAAATGCATGTGGCCACGCGCGAAGCGCATGAGCGCGCCCGAGCGCATTCGATGCGAGGAGTGGCTCCGCCGCAAGGCTAGGCTGCGGATGCTGCAGGATAAGGGCCGGGGCGATTGCCAGGAGGAAGGCCGGGGTGAAATCGCAGATGGAGATTCAGGTCTCGAGCAGCGATGAAGGCCAAGATGAAGGCCAGGTTGACAGCCTCAAGCAAGGGACGCAGGGGCGGCATCCATGAGAACGGCGCCAGGCAGGGCCTGGGGGGCGACGGCTCCCAGGAGGGCGGCGCCAAGCGAGACCAGGAAGTGGGCGGCTTCCAGGAGGGCAGTGCCAAGCGCGGCGGCTTCCAGGAGGGCGGCGCCCAGCAGGGGAAGGAGGTCGGCGGCTTCCAGGAGGGCAGCGCCCAGCAGGAGAAGGAGGTCGGCGGCGCCCAGGAAGGCGGCGCCCGGCGGGGGAAGGTCGGCGGCGCCCAGTCGACAGCAAGCAGGGGGAGATGGCCGAGCTCGAGCCGTCGCTGGTGAATGAATGGGTGCTGGGGCCGCGGCTCGCCCGCCAAACTTTCGTCGATCCTCCGCCCTCGATCCTCGAGCCCGCCCCGTCGCCATCTACGTCGCCGCCGTCGTCGCCGCCGCCCCCGTTCCCATCGCCATCATCTCCATCTTCCGTATCATCATGCAGTTTTATGTATGATTACGCTGGCGATGGTGATGCGGATGATGTCGGCGGTGCGGATGGTGCTGACGATGGTGGTGGCGGTGCCGAGGATGACGACGATGATGATGACGATCGCCCTGCTGCTGGTGATGGTGGTGGCGGTTGTGATGGTTATGGTGGTGATGATGGCGATGTTGATGATGATGGCGATGACGACGCCGGCGACGGCGGTGGCGATGGTGATGGTGACGGTGGCGGGTATGGCGATGGCGATGAGTTTTGGGATGATGGCTGTGCTGGTGATGATGATGTTGGTTTTGATGATGGCGGCGATGATGACGATGACGATGGAGGGAAAGAGAGGGCGGCCCCATGCGGCCATTGGAGGTCCTCGGCCCCAGAGGCCTTCGGAAATCATTCGGGGCCTCCACAGGCCCTCGGAGGCCACGGGGCGCCCTCGGGGGACCCCGAGAGGACCCCGAGAAGACCCGGGCGGGCCTCGACAAACGGGCCCGTTTGGCGAGGCCTGGGAGAGCCCCCGGAGCTAAATTTTGCCATTCGGCCCCCTCGCTAGGTCATGGCGATGGGGGCGTCAGAGTTGCATTTTTTTGTTGCGTTGTCACTGCTGCTGGCGTTGTTGGTGGCGGTGGTCGCGCCGCTGGCATCCGCGTCGTTTCCCGTCAGCGTCGGTTTCGTCCTCGCCGCCGCGCGGGCAAGCTTCTGCCGCGGGGCGCGTTTGTAGACTGCCGCCCCAAGACGCATGCACTTGTTCCGCGGCCGCGGATCCACCCGGCGAGGCCCCGCCCCCGCAGCGCGGCGCTAGCGAAAGCGCGGCCCGCTGTCAGGCCGCGGGGCGCGCAAGCCGCGAAGCGGTCAGATGCGGGCCCTCAGAAGACGATGATGATGCCAGCGATGGCGGCCCCTTTTGCCACTGCGCTGGCCGCGCGTTCCTTCCGCCGGCGCCCGTCTGGGCGCCAGGCGGACCCTCCTTCCGCCGCGCAAAGCGGGCCTCGCCGCCGGTGCTGTCGGACGCCGGGGCAAAGCCCAGGGTGGGCGGGCAAAAGAGGGCCCCTGTGGGCCCTGGGAGGGCTTTGAGCCCCGAAGGCTTGAGCGGGAGAGAAAGGGAGAGAGAGAGCAGCAGAGGCAAGGGCATGGGGGAGAGAGGAAACCCAAACCGACTGGGGAGGGCGGGGTCCAACCGCTTAGGTCAAACAACTAAGACCCTGCCCCCGCAGTACGGCGCTAGCGAAAGCGCGGCCTGCTGTCAGGCCGCGGGACGCGCAAGCCGCGCAGCGGTCAGATGCGGGCCCTCAGAAGACGATGATGATGCCGGCGATGGCGGCCCCTTTTGCCACTGCGCTGGCCGCGCGTTCCCTCCGCCGGCCCCCTTTTGGCCGCCAGGCGGGCCCCTCCTTCCGCCACGCAAAGCGGGCCTCGCCGCCATTCGTTCCAGCGGTGCTGGCAGGTTGCTGCCAGCGATGCCGCGCGCTGGTCTGGCGGGCCATGCGCGTCAGCATTGCAGCGGGGGCGCCGTGAGGTGGCGCCGTCAAAACTGGGTGCCAGGCTGCATGTGCAGCCGGCGCCATCTAGACTCTGGAGCTGCGCCGCAGGCGGTGCCTTTGCCGGTGGCGCTAGCTGCTCGGGGCGCGCACAGCCGGGCGCAGGCGCCGGCGCGCGCGTGGGGCCCAGCTGGCCTTCATGCTGGCCGATCGCCGCCAGGCAGTTGATGCCGGCGTGCTCGGCTGTCCGCCGCAAGGCTAGGCTGGGGCTCACGCCGGCGCACTGATTGCCGGCGGAGCCCGGCCTCGGGCCAAGGCCCGAACATGCCGCGAGTGGCGCCTGGCCGATGCCGGCGCCGCGGCGCCCGCAGCGCGCGCTGTGGCCGCGCAGTTCCCCCGGCTCCCCGCCCCCCCCTGGGCGTCCGGGGCGGGCAGGGTCCGGCCCCTGACGGAGGGGGTTCCCCGGGCCAGCGCGGGTGTGCGGGCCCGCGATCGCGCGCTTGAATTCTGGCGCCGCTGGCTGCGCTGGGCTGTGGGCCGGCAGCTGTCGCGGCCCGTGCTGGCTGCAGTGTGCCTGGCACGACCAGGCTCAAGAGGAGAGCCGGCGCGCCAGGCGGGGGCCCAGCATTGCCCTTGTTCGGCGATTGCAAATGGCGTCCACAGCATCCCAGGCACTGGAGCCCGGAGCGGGCAAGCCCGCACGCGCATGACAGCGCGGAGGTATTGGCCGGTGCTGGAGGCACAGGCTGAGGATACCCTGCGGACGCACGGCTGGCATGCCGGCGGCGCGGGTGGTAGTAAGCTGCAGTGTCCCAAGCACGCTCGGCGGTCATGCCGGCGGCTTGGGTTGGGCGCGCGCCAGGTGCACTTGCACCGGCGGCGCCCGCCGCAGCCCCTCGTCATGGGCTCTTGCGCCTGGCGCTCTCGGCGCCGGCGGCGGCTCTGGCGGGTGCACTGTCTCTCGCCAGGTTGGTCAGCGATGAGGTATCCCTGGCCATCTTGCTGGAGACGCCCTTCATCGGCTCGTGCGACTCCCGCAGGTAGCCGTGGAACGCGTCCGACTGCCAGCGCCCGAACCGGCGCACCCGGGAGAGGTCCCCCGTCACGTGGTACATCGCAGTCGCCCCGCCGATCCTCAAGGAGTGGCTGCCGATTTCCTCTCTGGAGAGCCCGGCGGCCAGCCCCGCGATTGTCAGGAAGTGCTGCATCTCGGCCCTGCGAATCGGAGTACCTGACGCCCAGCGGAAAATGGGTAGCCGTTCTTCGGTGCCCTTTATCCGCTGGGGATGGTGAGCCTGGAGCCGCTCCATCGCCGCTATCGGGCAGAGCGACGTGCTGGCGCGGTAGTGGTTCCTCACCGTCCCGACGTTGAGCTGGTCCGTCTTGCTGCCCTTGATGAATGTAGATAACCATCTCGTCGGCGTCCCGGAAGTTGGGCGCGCGCTTGCCGCCCCTCCTAGGCTCTACGTCCTCCCCGTGCAGCACGCGCTCGAAAGACCACGAGCGCCCGTCCTGGAGGAGGTACTCCGAGGCCCGTCACGATCGCCGCCCAGATGACCACTGCGTCCTCCTCGGGGAGCTCGGCCTCCTGCTGGAGGAAGCCGCGGGGCCACTCGAGCATAGCTGGGGTGACTGGTTTCTTCCGCTTAGTCTCAGGTCCTTGCCAGCGCTCGAGCCCCGCTCGGGTGCTCCAGAGCCGGCCCCTGTGGAGCAGGGGGTTCGAGTAGCCAGCCACCAGGTGGGCGTAGCGGACCGCGAAGAGCTTTTGCTTGATGGTCCCCTCCGTCCCCCCGACGACCCGAGCGAGAAGGACGGCGAAGTTGGTGGGCGCCTCTTCGTCGGCCAGGCGCTCCTCGCGGTCGCGCCCTGGCAGCCAAGGGCTAGGCCCCTGCGCCTGGCGTGCGGCTACCCAGAGTCGCCAGCCGCCCTCGTAGCCCGCTCTCGTGCCTTCGCTGAGTTTTTGCAGCATGGCCTCCATCTTCTGCTGCGCGAGCCAGCTGGCGTAGCCCGCTCCGCCTGGCTCAGCTCGGCCGGCGGGGGGGTTGGCAGCCGGCGTCTCCTTGGCTCGCCGAGGGCGCTTTTTGCGCGGGCTCTTTGAGCGGGACACCTGCTTGTCCAGCTTGACTGCCTCTGCTGCTGGGGCTTCGCGGGGTCCGATGATCGCGTCCTCGTCGATCTCCCGGAAGCGGATCGCCTGGGCGCGCCGGCGATCCTTGTGCATCTCGTCTGTGAGTGCGCCGCCTGCCATTGCCTCGCCCTCCGCCAGCTCCGCCGCCAACGCGAGCGCGGGCTGGTCTGGCGCCTGAGCCCAAGCCCGGAACCAGCGCTTGGTGGCCTCCCACGCGGCCTGCTCCTCTGGGTCGTGGCATACCCCGGCGCGCTGCGTGCTGGCACGGCTGAGGGCCTCCGCCACGGCGCCCAGGACCGCCTCGGCAGTCCTCGGTGGGAGGGCCCTGGCCGCGCCTTTCAGGAGCTCCCCCTCCATGGAGCCCTGTGCACGCAGGCCAGTCCACTCGTCGTCGGTCCCCCCTGTGCCCTCCAGACTTCTTGGGGCGTCAAGGCTCGGGCCGTGCCCTTGCTCCCCCTGGTGACCCGGAGAAGTGTGGCGCCTGGGCCTTGGGGCCTCGTCCCGGGCCACTGGACAGTGCCCGCGGGACCTTCTTCGCTGTAGATCAGGTGCTTCACCCCGTCCTTCTTGAGGTGGCCGACCGGCTTGAGGAGGAGAGGGTCGCTGGTGGGCTGGATGCGGGGGTCCCACGACACCTCGCCTTGTTGGTCGAGCCAAAGATGATCCTTCCCTCTGTCCAGGAGTGGCTTGACGCTGGCAGCTCGTGAGCAGGCCGGCGGCATGTTCATGCTCGCCAGGCCTGCTCCCGTCCTCTGACGTCCTCCCGTGAGCGCCTGCCTGGTCCGCGTGGTGGCATCCCCGTGGTGCGCGCAGATCACTTCGAACTTCTCGACCGTGTAACTCAGCTGCTTGAGCGCCTTCTCGAGTCTGGCCGTGTCCACGCTGTTCGGGGCGTCAGCGATCACCACCTCGGGGCTCTCATTGGTCGCTGCAACGAGGAACGCCTCCATCTCTCGGCCCTTGGGGTCGAGGGGCAGAGATGCCATGAGCCAGTCCGCCATCTGATTCTTCCCCGTCTCTGACACGCCAAGGCGTTTGAGTGCCTTCACGTAGGGGTTGAGGAGGCTCCCTACCTCCCTGCCCACCTTCCCGTGGAGTGGGAGGGGCTTCGGCGGCCCGTACCCCTTCTGGAGCGCTCGGTGCCGCAGGGCGGACTCGGCCACTGGGCCCGTCTCCCCTGGGAGGCGAAGGAGGCGTTCCTTGGCGTCCTCCAGGATCTGGCCCCAAGCCGCGGGGGGCTCGAGGCGCTCCCATCCCTCGGTGGCCAGCGTGTCGTGAACCTTCTTGACCTCCTCGCAGGTGAGCCAGTCGGCCACCCCGTTATGGTAGGTCCGAACGAAGAAGGAAGTGATGCGGCACCCGTGCATGGCCTCAATCCGCTCCACTAGGCGAATCAGATGACGGGCGAGGGTGTTCTTGGGGCTTCGTTTGGTGAGCCACGCTTTCACGTTCAGGTTGTCCGTGACGTAGAAGACCAGCTCACCTTCCCACTTGGGGCCCTGCTTCGTAGCCAGCGCGACCACTGCCAACAGCTCGACCACTGCGATGATCCAGTCCTCCTCGCTGCTTTCTCCCCCAACCGCCTGGCTCAAGGCCTCGAGCAGGGGCTTGGCGTCCGTGGCCATGTAATCCGGCGTGGGTGGAGCTCCTTCTGCGGTTGCACGACCCCAGTCGATGGCGCCGATCGACGAGGTGGTGGCGTCGCCACCTGTCCATCTCGTAGCGCGTGCTGTCCCAGGCAGCGCAAGGCGCTCACGTACCGAGAGCGCCTGCGTGAAGCTCGCCTGGAAGGTCGTGCTCCAAGCCTCGGGGACGTCAAAGAGCATCCTCAGGAAGCTCACGGAGGCGTCCTGTTCTTCCCAGGCGAGTTCGACTTCTTCGGGGGTGCCCTTTGGCTCTGCCCAGCTCGTACCACTGCTCAAGAGCCGGCGTAGGGCTGGGTGCTCTGGGCGGAGCGCGGGCTGCGCGGGCGCCCAGAATTAGGCGCAGCCTCGCTCAGTGGTGCCCGCCGCGAGCCTCTGAGCTCTGGGAGGGCGAGCAGGTACTGGGCCTTGATGCACTTGGGCTCCGGGAGCCTGACCACCTTCGTGTTGAAGTTCATGTGGAGGCCCCAGATCAGCTGCTCGGCGGCGAACTCCCCCTCCACATCCAGCTTCTCTTCGTTGACCGCGTCCGGGCCCCAGACCCTCTTCATGGCCCCGTCGAGCTCCTCGGCCGAGAGCCAGGGCCGGAGGCCCACCAGTGGTTCGAGGACGACGCCGTCGTCCATCAGCCACTTGGAGGCGTACTTGACGATGTCGTTGATCTCAGGCTCCGGCGGCTTCCGTCTCTCGTGCTCATTCTTAGCCGCCCAGGCAAACGCCATGTACTCCCCTGGGCTGCCGGCCCAGCCGAAGACCAGCACGCCGTGGATGAGGATCACGCGCCCGGGCGCCCCAACTTCTTTGCCTGGAAGCGTCGTCCCGAAATCGGGTACCGCGGCCGGCTCCAGGTGATGCCACTCGAAGGCCCTGGCCACGTTCTTCTTCGCGACCACCTGCTGGGCGCCTGGGTGCCTTGCCTCTCACCGCAGGCTGAGTCGAGCAAGCCCTCGGTGGAGGGGCTGCTTGGCTGGCGGGTGCTGCTCCTTCGGGGAGAAGGCGTTGGCTGCGCGCATGTCGCGGACCGGCCGGCCCTCCTTCGAGATGGTCCGGTCTGGCAGCATCTTGGGGGCCTTCCCGCTGGGAGACTCGACCAGGGCCGAGGCGGCGAGCGCGTCCTCGACCTCGTCCGAGGCCCAAAGGACCACGCCGTAGCGGCTGTCCTTCCAGGCCTTCTCGAACATCTCCAAGGCGTGGTCCACCGCCGACGAGTGTAACTTGGCCTGCGTGCGCACCCGCTCCTCCGCGCGCCTCGCCGGGACTCCTCTGGCCATCGCTCGGAGACAGGCTGCGTGATGGGGGTCCAAGGACTTCTGCACGTCCTCCTTGAGCACGCCGCCCGGTGGGTTGCCATGGGGCTCCTCGCGCGCTTGCTTCAGCAGCGCTGCGGCCAGTTGCCCCGCCGCACCGCCTCGGGGACCCTCTCTGGCTGGAAGTCTGGGTGGTGGGCGCACCGCCTGACATAGGCGCGCGCCTCCTCCTGCTCCTTCTTCGCCAGTCGTCGCAGGTGTCCCCTCCAGCGGGGGGCCTCCGCAGCGGCCTCCTCCGCGCGGGGGAACTGGCCAGGGCGGCGGCATCATTGGTGGCATGCCCGGTGGTCGGCAGATCTGGCCGGGGAGGAGTGGGCGCCATCCCCTCGGCCTCAGCAGCGGTTGGACCCCGTGGGGCTGAGGCACGGGCGGTCCAGCTGGCTCTTCCTGGCGAGGCTTGGGCTGCGGGGGTGCCCCCTGGAGGTGGCTCGCAGGTGGGCGCCCAGTGATCCCGGCCTGGGCCTGGGTGCGGGTGCCCCCTCCGGCGCCTCCGTGCTGCCGGCGCCCGCCCCCCCAGTGGGTGGGCCGCCGCCGGAGGCTCGTGACCTACCGGCGGCCCGCCGAGCTGCTACCACAACCGTCTCCGCCGAGCGGCTCCGCCTCACAGGTGCGGCCTTCTGAGGGGGTGGGCTGGCGGGCTTGCCTTGTGGGGGGCTGGCCGGGCCAGGGGAGGCCTCGAGAGCCTCGGGAGGTGGCGGTGCGCCGGGCGACGGCTCGGGGGCGGCCGCCGGGGCCGGGCCCCCGCTGCCGCTTGCGCCAGGAGAGCTCCGGAAGGGCTTCTCCTTCCCTCGCTCGGCTGTGGCCGCTCGTCCCAGCCAGAGGCCCAGGGGGTCCGAGTCTTCTGGGATGGGCGGGGCTGGTCCTGTTCGTGCCCCCGCGTGCGGCTCCTCCACAGCTTCGCTCTCCGAGCTCTCGACGAGGGCTGCGTCGTCGCTCGGGGGGTCCTCCTCCGCCTTCTCGTACACGGTCCTCGGGCGTTTCTTCGCAGGGGTATCGCCCAGCTCTCCTGCCTTCACCATCTTGCGGGTCAGCTTCTCGAGGATGTCAACGTACTCGCCTGATATCTCCCCCTGCTCCTCGTAGGGGGTGCCAGTCCAGCTCCGCGGCAGGTCCTCGAACATGGGGCGGATGCCCTCGATCAAGAGCTCGCGGGCTTTCCCCCTCCGCTCTGGTCCCGTGGGATCGCTAGCCGGGGCCCCGAGCAGGTTGTTCAGGATGCACTCCGCCTCGTGGCACTTGTTCTCCCCGTCCAGGATGGCTGAGGGGAGGGGGGTCTCGTCTTCCCAGGCCGGGTCGAGCGGAGTGGCCGCGCTCTGTCCACTGGGGGGCTCGGAGCTGGCACGGCGGGGATGCCTGGCTGGCGTCTGCCCTCCTTCGCGCTCGCCGGCGTCCCTCGCTCGGCGAGCTCGCCGGCGCTCCTTCGCCTCTGCCAGCTGTATCTGCAGCTCCCTGATGCGCTTCTCCTCCTCCTCCAGGACGCCCACTTCGGCCGCTCTTGCGGCCTCGAGCTTCCTCCTTATGCTTTCCAGCTTCATGCTGTCTGCCGAGCTGCCGCCGCAGCTGGATCCTGCGGCGGGGGCCTCACGGCTCTGCCTCTGGAGGGCCTGAGCGACCGCCAGCTGGAAGCGCTTCCCCTCGGCGCGCCTCCCCCCGGCGACTGCGAGCTCCGGGCTGCCAAAGCCCTGGGAGCTGGCGCGGTCCGCGATCCTCAGCGCGACGCTGCGGTGGGAGGTGGGGGCGTCTTCGCCCTGACGCCAAGGCGCCTCTTCGCGCTCCTCACCCTCGGCTCTCTTGGCCCAGCGCGGCGCCCAGCTGGCCCAGTTCTCGATCTCCTCGCGCCCAATCCAAAGGAGGAGGCGTTCTCCTGATTCGACCTGATCGTCGTCTGCCAGTGGTGGTC